CGACAGCCCAGCTCCCCCCATCCCTCCTTCTGCGCCACGCACACCTGGAATGCAATTCGGAGGCCTCCTCCCCCCAACCTGCTGCCTTCCACGTGTGTTCAACCTCGCCTTCCATCACTCCCAACCAGCATGGGAGTCGTAGTTCAACACACCTGGAGAACACCAGATTGGGGCAGGCTGCGAGAGAAAAACATCTGGCACAGGAGGAAGGAGGCCTGGAAGACAGATAAATCGGGAGAAGGGCTGTTTATTTTCAGCGGCGCAGCTCCACACAGGTTTACGAGCTCGTCCCATCTGCGTCTCCCAGACAGAGAACTGCCAGGATGCTAATATTCACACGTCCCGAAGTTCCGCAACCGAAAGAACGCAAAGAAAAAGTGTGCCGAAGCCGCCATTATAGGATGGGAAATGGAGACTGGGCAGCTGGGCTAGAAGGATGCCAGGAAGACAGATGCCTGCGCGCTTGCTGACCAGAACAGACAGGATACTTGTCCCCGAGCGCCCAGCCCCTTCCTCAAGGCCAACAGGACGGTCCCCACAACCAGCTCCTTAACTCTGGAATAAGCCCCAAGAAGGACTCTTCAAAGAAGCAGAAAGGGACAAGGGGCAGGCAGAGAAAAGCAACTGAATTGGCCTGTTTGTTTTCCACATCTTGGTTCCTGTTCTCCTTTATTTGGCAGCCTGACACAGAGGGAGTTTTTCTTCTTCCTTCAATGGGAAAGAGTCACGAGGCTGACCCGCAGGCAGCCAGGGAGACCCGGAGACTGATGGCTCAAGGCGCAGACAGCACCAGTCGCAGCCGTGTAACCGTGCAGCAGTAAATATATCAAAGCGGTCTGGAGGAAAACATGAGGACTAGATGCTTGAGCTTATAAAGAAACAGGGAAGCTGAAACCCTCACCATTTCCACGCACATGTAACGTTAGAGGAGTGTGTGATGCATAAAGTTGCCACAGCGAATGTGTAAATGAACGAGCACCCCGTTTCTAAAAGTAACACACCGGTTCAGCGCACGCTTCCTGCCACCTATGCTCACTGGCTTCCTTTGGAAAGGCAAGAGCCCCCTCTCCTGGCCACAGAGTTGCGAATCTATAGTTAACCAGTGGCCTTCAGAGCTAATTATATTAATTCCTTGATAACACCCTGCAAAGCAGGGTAGCGGATGAAGGTATCGTCTTGTTCCAAAAGCGATTGGTTTGGCGGACCTCTCAGAAGTGCCGTCCGCTCTGATTAGCACGGACGGCTAAGGTTCACACCTTCGCAAATGATTTTGGCAAGCCAATCGGTGACACCTCGCGTTAGCACAAAATCCCATTTTGGCCAGACTTACTCCTGCTCCCCTCTCCAACGTTACTGGAAGAGTTTTGGCTAGCAAGGGCTGAAATCCTTCACTTTCCCAGAAGCTGAAGAGATGCGAAGCACCCCCAGACCCTGATACACGATCATATTACAGCTCGATTTTCTGATTCTACCCCATCCCTTGATTTGCCTAAAGCGTTTAGGAAGTCTTGTGGTCCTAAAGAAGGTAGTGCTTAACTACAAGGCATATTTTTTTCTTTTTCTTGTGGGTCAGTTTGGGTGTTTCCTGGAAAGCCTGTGCAGATGGCTGTCACTCTGGAAGTCATCCTTTAAGGAGAGGCCAAAAGACAGGGTCAGGTTTTCTGGGGGGGGGCACCGAGCTGCTAAAGGAAGGAAGTGGCATCGCAAGGATGGTCAAGATCCCTTCATCCCAGAACGTGGGACAGAAAAAGATAGATTCCGCTGAAAGTTAGGCAGAAAATGGATTATCGGTGTGGGGAGGAGACTTCCGTCACTAGGTGGTGGCCAAGCAGAGAATGGCCAGCCGTCAGTCGGGATGGCTGGATTTGGGTTCCTGTCCTGAGCGCTTCGTGGCTCCAGGACCCCTTCTGGTTCTGGATCTGAAGCTCCATCCACCCCTGAGACTCACGGAACACTATCTGGGGTGCGGAGGAAGCAGGAAGACGGACCACAAGGTGACCGTGGAGCTGACCCAGAAGAGATCCGAGCAGCCTGAGGCCCAGCTACTGGGGCTTGACCAGCGGCGCCCTCATTTCCAGACGAACGGAAAAGGGTCCCGGCACTAAGCCCACCCAAGAGAGGCAACTGAGTGGGGGAGCCCAACCCGTGCGGGGATTCCTGCCACGGGTGGCTCTAGGTGATGGGCTCTGGGTGTGGCCAGAAGCCTGGGCAACCCCCCCCCCAGCAAAAGCAGCCACGGGAAAGCACCCTTCCCCTCCCC